CTGAAGAGTCCCTATGGATATTTGCAGTTTGACGGAGTTTTAAAGTTCCTCATCATCCACCTGATGAGGACATCCATAAGGTCCACCTCCTTAATGGCTTCCCAGTGCCGTTTTAAAGCCCCTTGACACAAGTAATTCCATTTTATTTCACTTTTCACTTTGGTATCCTTTAAAAAATTTTTGTTGTTGTTGATTGTAGAAATCCAGTTGACTTGTGTTTATTGACCTGTAGCCAGCATCTTCACTAACTTTTATTTCCAATTTTATTTGTAGAGTCTTGGGGTTTTTAAATATTTTCACACTCATGGTGGGTGAATAATGATAGATTTATTACTTTCCAGTCTTAAGCATTTTGTTTCTTTTCCTTGACATACTACACTGACTTGCCTTTACAGTAAAATGTTAAGTAGACATAATGAGAGTGATCATCCTATTCTTATCCCCATCCAAAGGGAATGTTACAGCATGTCACCCATAAGTGTGATGGTTGCTTTAGGGTTTTTCTTTTGGTGGGTATCTTTATCAGGCTGTTTATTTCTAATCATTACTAAAAGAATTTCTTTTATTATGAACTGACATTAGATTTCAGCATTTATTAATGTAATATGTAATATTTTGCCTTTCTTTTTTAATGTGATGAATTACAGTGATTTTCTGAATATTAATTCATCCTGCCTTACATTACTGGAATAAATCCAATTTTATCATGATGTATTACCTCTTTTATATATTGGTGGATTTGTTTTGCTAGTATTTTGTTTAGGCTTTTTCTTTCTACATTAATGAGTCAAGATAGCCTTTTTCTTTCTTACATATTTTTCCTCATATGTATGCGTCAACAAAAGTAACTGGGAGAAGTGGTCCCTAAGTCTTGGTCAAGTCTCTGGAATATCCTGCATGAGTGTCTTTATTTCTTAAATGTTTGGTAGATTTCATTAGTAAAACTCTCTGAGCCTGAAGTTTGGGGGAGGAAGGTTGTAGTTCTGGATTCAGTTTCTTTAAACTAAACTATTGCAAAACTATATGTACTTTCTGTGTCTTCTTTGGTCAGTTTTGTTGACATAATTTTAAATTTGTCAATTTTATCTAAATTTTCAAATTTGTTCCAAATCTTTTATCTGTAGTGTCTGTAGTGATCTCCTATTCATGACATTATTTGCATTTTCATTTTGTTTTCTTGATTAATCTTACCAGTATACTTCAATTTTGTAGGTCTTTTCAAAGAACCAATTTTTGGCTTTTTTAAACTTCTTAGGGTGGTGGCTTAGCTCATTTATATTCAGCCTATGTATACACATATAAATGTATGCAGAGCAATACATTTCCTCCTAACCATGATTTTAGGAACATTCACAAGTATGTTTCACATGATATTTTCACTGTTATTTGGGTCAAGATACTTTATTTCCATTGTAATTTTTCATCTTCTACCCATGGCTATTCAGAAATATATTCTTTAATTTCTAAATTGTGGGATTTTCTAATTCTTGTTTTGTTATGATTTCTAGCTTAATTTTACCACAGTCAGAGAGCCTATCCTGTATACTTTCAGTCCTTGGAAACTAAATAACACTTGCTTTTATGGTATGACACATATGGTCAATTTTTATAAATATTTCATATATAGTAGAAAGTAATGTATACTGCATTTGAAGTACAGTGTTTTTTCTATTCACTAGTTCAGATGTTTGTATCATTTTGTTTAATTTAAGCAGTTTGGTAAATCTCCCAGTATGAGTGTAGATGTGTCTCTCTTCCCTCTTAGTTCTGTCAGTGTTTCCTTGACATATTTTGAGGCTGTGTTACTATGTACATATAGACTTAAATTATATTTTCCTAGCAGATTGAATCAGCTATCAGTATGCATTTTTTCTCTAATAATACTTTTTGCCTTGAAATCTTCTTGGATAACAGTAATACCATACTTTCATATGAATAATGTGCATAGGCCACCTTAGGAATCATGAGAGTTAGCATTTTCATAAAATATCTTTTCTTTATTATTTCTGTGTCTTTGTATTATAAGTGATCTTTTATAAATGGCATTATAGTTATTTTTTTAAATAGTCTGTATTTTAATTGAAAAGGTTAGCTCTTACAAGTAATTACCAAAATGCTTGCTTTTGAATCTACCATTTTTATTTGATCTTTTATTTGTTCCTTTTTTTCTTTTTAATTTATTCAAAGTATTTGTCATTTTTTACTCCCGTTAAGTTGGCATTCATGTAGTCTTTTACTGTTCTCTGAGTGATTTTTTTCTTTTAGAGATTAGAACATGCATAGTTGACATACTGGTGTGCAATGACAATTTGCATTTTTTAACCCTTTCTTAGACAGTGCATGAATCTTAGAACACTGAAATTCCGTTTTGAATCTCAGAACACTTAAATTCTATTTTCCCTCTTCAAGTGCACCTGCCTTTGCTGTTACATATGTTAAACCTATCAATACGTTTTATTTTGTGTATTCTGTGTTCATTTAGATTTTCTAAATCACTTATCCTTTCTTTTAATCTTCAACTCAGGGCTTCCATCTGGAATCATTTTTCATGTGAGGAAGTTCCTTTAATATTTCCTCTACTGCACATCTGCTGGTGATAAATTACCTCATTTTTACCTGCAAATATATTTGTTGGATATACTTGAAGGATATTTTTCCTGCATATGATATTCTAGGTTGGCAGTTTCTTTCCTTTTTTTTTTCTTTGGTATCGTTAATGTACAATTATTTGAACAACATTATGGTTACTAGACTCCCCCTATTAGGCAGTTTCTCTCTGAGCGCTTTCAAGCATTGTTCACTATCCCATCATTTCTGTTGAGAAGTTAGCTATCAGTCTTACTATTATCTTGAAAAGTCATTTCCACTCTTCTTTGTTTTTATTTGTTTTCAGTTTTACTATGACAAGACTATGCATGGGTTCTTTTTATTTATCCTGCTTGGTTTTCATAGGCTTTGATTGTGTGGTCTTCGTTCAGTTTTAAAAAATTGTCAACCATTACTTCATCAAATATTGTTTCTACCTCATTCTTTCCCTCTTTTCTGGCACTCTTAATTATGTGCATATTAATCCTTCTCACAATATTCTCTGTCACTTTCCTTCTTTTATGTATTCTTTTGTCTCTTCATTGTAGATCTTTTCTTCCAAGCTACCTACCTTCAGTTAACTTGTATCTTAAGTTATGTGTAACTTGCTGTTAAATCCGTCTTTGAATTGTCAATTTCTCCAGTTCTTTGTTGAAATTATCAGTCTTTTCTTTTATTACCCCAAGCAATAACCAGAGTTTATTGCAGTCTGTAGTATTTTATTTGTTTTCAGTTTTACTATGACAAGACTATGCATGGGTTCTTTTTATTTATCCTGCTTGGTTTTCATAGGCTTTGATTGTGTGGTCTTCGTTCAGTTTTAAAAAATTGTCAACCATTACTTCATCAAATATTGTTTCTACCTCATTCTTTCCCTCTTTTCTGGCACTCTTAATTATGTGCATATTAATCCTTCTCACAATATTCTCTGTCACTTTCCTTCTTTTATGTATTTGCTATTCTTTTGTCTCTTCATTGTAGATCTTTTCTTCCAAGCTACCTACCTTCAGTTAACTTGTATCTTAAGTTATGTGTAACTTGCTGTTAAATCCGTCTTTGAATTGTCAATTTCTCCAGTTCTTTGTTGAAATTATCAGTCTTTTCTTTTATTACCCCAAGCAATAACCAGAGTTTATTGCAGTCTGTAGTTCCTTTTGGTCTATTTCTGTTGTCTCTTATTTCTGTTGGTTTTCATTCTATTCTCTTGAATGATATTTATACCTGTTAGGTTTTTTTTTTAAACAATACATTTTATTTGGAGTACAAGATGTTATCTTTCTCCAGATTGTTTTTTTACCTCCAGATAATTGCATTACTTTGGTCCATTGTCTGAGTCACTAGCAGTCTGTTATTTCAGTCCAGGTTAAAGATTTATTCAAAGATGCATTGCTTTTCCCTGGGGATTCTGCTATAGTTCTGCCTCTACTCCTACGATATGCTCCCAGGAGTAAAGCAGCCTTAAATGTGAAACTGTCACATCTCAGGATCTCTCTAGGCTGTCTTAGATCCTGCCAAGTTATTTTTCACTTTTGCTTGTTATCTCTCAAATATCTTCAGGCAAATGTCTTTTTAAAATATGGTTGTCTTCATCAGGAAGGATTTGCCTGTCATTTGGAAGCAGAAGTCTTGTTTCATTCTTACTGTAACTTTATTAGGAATTACCCTCTTGGAGAAAATATGGCTTAGAGAAAGGTTAAATAATTTCCTTGAAGGTTACATGTATGTTACAGTATTGGGATTTCAATACAGATATTGTTCAAAGTCTTTGTTCTTTTTACTACATTATGCCAGTATTTTGGAATATGAATGATAGGCAAAAGCCATCTTAAGAGATCATGAGCCACATTGTACATATCAGGCAAGGTATACTATAGAATGTCATTCGTGTTTTCATTGTCATTATGTATGACCAAAACAGGCTAGTAAGTAAATGTACCTCTTACTAGGTACTGAGCTCTTCACTGATAATTAAATCACAGTAAATGCCTTATATATGTTAAGTTAAATATTTAGAATAGTGCTTGAATGGAAAACAGCAATATTTTAAAAATCAGGATATACTGTAATTTTGAAATATAAAACAGTTGGAAATTTATAATTAGAAATAAAGCACAGTTCACTTGACATAAAATTCTTTTTTGTGTTTACTACTTTATCAAATTTATGTCCCTCTTCTTTCAACTTTTGCCATCCAGAGCTTGGTTTCTGGATGTTTTGTGAAAGAATGTCCAGGTAAGGACCTGGGGAATTAAGCCCAGTTTTGCAGAAAGTATTCATGGTATGAAGGCAAATGTAATAGTAATTCTCTTTTTACTCATTTACTTTTTGGGGAAGGAACAAAAATGTTGATGCTTTAAATTTCTGGCCCATTTTATTTAAAACTTGTCAGTAATATCTCTTTCTTTCTAATTTAGGGATAAAGCAGTTCCTAACAAAGTGGGGATATATTGTATCCAGTTTGGTTTTATGATGGATAAAACAAATATTCTTAACAGTGAACAGGTTTGCATACTCTTTTTATGTGTCACAGTTAGCATCACGTTTTCTTGTTTAGGAATGAAATGTTTTGTTTAAAAGTGAGTCAATAATTAGATGCAAAGTATGAATAATGCAATTTTAAGGAATATTAAAATAAAATACATTTAAATTAGTTTGGTTAATATGACCTGATACAGAAGTTACTTTTCCATTTCTCTTTATATCAAAGACTCAATTAGGAAGCATTTTAGTGTATATTACAGTAAAGTTGCTCCTATCAACCATACATGAAAAAATTGCAGTTAATAGCATTTCAGGTACTAGAATTCTGGATAGTGAAGTTTAAGGTAGTTTTAACATATATCATCTCCATTCAATATTGTTAATGTACTAAATTTTTTTAAATTGCCTCTATTTTTTAATGTCTCTAAAATTGTTCTTAGATGGTTTTTAACATTCAAAAATTCATCTCTGATAGATGTTTTATTCTGAGTTTTAAAAAATTGACTAGATTTAAAGAGATTAATGGAAAAACCTTTTAGAAGGTAACATTTCATTTAATATATTCTATCATTGTTTCTTCTCTTACACTTAAGCACTGAACTGTCAGTGCATTGTTAATCAGAATGCTTCCTTTGTTTTGTAAGATTATAGTTGATGTTCTGCCTAATCAACCTGTGAAGTTAATTCCTAAATATCAGCCGGCTACACCAGCTGTTTCAAATGTCCGCTCAGTTGCCAGTAGGACCTTGGTCAGAGATCTACATCTTAATATCACGGTAATGTTTATTTACTTCCAAAATGACAAAGGGTAACAAAAGTTATTTCTAGTTTTGGGGTGCAAAATAATTATTATAGAATCAGATCTTGATTATATATAGTTTAAGGTTATTGGAAAATTTGTGCAGATCAGTGAAATATTTACAAAAGTGTATTTGAATACAAATAAAGAATGCATAACATACACAAAACATACCAAATACACTAAGTAGAACTGACTCAAAAATGGAGAAATCTGCCTGTGTTTCCTAGTACATTCCTTAATCCCCTTCTTCATGTATGTATTCTGAATATGTGTGAAGTATATTGATTTCTCAGTGTCCATTTCACTGATAGGACAGAGGGAGGTCATTAAGTAATTATTTTTATGAGATCTGCTCTGATGACTGATCATAGCTCCTCAGAGCTTCTGAATACCTGGAGAGTACTCTGTATAGAGCTGCTGAGAATATAAACAGAAACATGGAAAGCACAATAGTGGAACTTCACCTTTATGGAAAATTTTGCTGGTGAAGGCTACTTCACTCCCGTCAGCTTGCTTACTTTGGACAAGTGAGTCATTCTTCTCTTCCCAGATCAGTAGATGCTAAAAAAGTACCTAACAAGCTGAATTTTTTAAATGGGAGTCCTTTTAATATAGAAAGTTTGGAGCCATTATTTTAGATGGAAAGCCTCTGATTCTTTTATGATTTCTGGGATTATTTTCAGTCTTTAGAGCTCTGAGACAGAAATTCTGAGAATAGAATTCTGTTTGGAGTAGAAGGATTAGGGTAATTTAATATTTGAGTTTTTTCCTAAATATTTGTCATATTTCTGATTTGCACACATCTTTCTCTGTGTTTAATCTTCCTACCAGTACTTCTAATTAGTTATTCTCCATTGTTTACATGAAGGATGAATACAACAATCAAACTGGAATAGATTTGGTTGGTATTGTAAGAGCTACCATTAAAGGTCCTAATGAAGAAGATACTGATACACCACTCTTTACTGGGAAAGTTAGAACACTTGAATTTCCCTTTGTCAAAGGTTCAGCTGAAATCACGGTAATTTTTATGGTTTTTGGTAGATAAGCTTTCTGTATTTAATAGTTTAAAACACAATATTATATAATACATGTTCTTTAGTACATATAGCTATGAAGATGTTCTAATTACATTAAAGTCAACTGAAATATTTTGTGATTTTGCTCTAATCTATTACAGATTGAACCCAGAAACATTATTATTACTAACAAGATCTTTTTCCATATGAATAACTGTTTTCTCTGATTCTAGTGATTTTAGCTTCAGTGATAATATATTCATATTTCTTTGAAAGGCTACCATTCTTTGGATAATTTAAGGTTATTGGAAAATTTGTGCAGATCAGTGAAATATTTACAAAAGTGTATTTGAATACAAATAAAGAATGCATAACATACACAAAACATACCAAATACACTAAGTAGAACTGACTCAAAAATGGAGAAATCTGCCTGTGTTTCCTAGTACATTCCTTAATCCCCTTCTTCATGTATGTATTCTGAATATGTGTGAAGTATATTGATTTCTCAGTGTCCATTTCACTGATAGGACAGAGGGAGGTCATTAAGTAATTATTTTTATGAGATCTGCTCTGATGACTGATCATAGCTCCTCAGAGCTTCTGAATACCTGGAGAGTACTCTGTATAGAGCTGCTGAGAATATAAACAGAAACATGGAAAGCACAATAGTGGAACTTCACCTTTATGGAAAATTTTGCTGGTGAAGGCTACTTCACTCCCGTCAGCTTGCTTACTTTGGACAAGTGAGTCATTCTTCTCTTCCCAGATCAGTAGATGCTAAAAAAGTACCTAACAAGCTGAATTTTTTAAATGGGAGTCCTTTTAATATAGAAAGTTTGGAGCCATTATTTTAGATGGAAAGCCTCTGATTCTTTTATGATTTCTGGGATTATTTTCAGTCTTTAGAGCTCTGAGACAGAAATTCTGAGAATAGAATTCTGTTTGGAGTAGAAGGATTAGGGTAATTTAATATTTGAGTTTTTTCCTAAATATTTGTCATATTTCTGATTTGCACACATCTTTCTCTGTGTTTAATCTTCCTACCAGTACTTCTAATTAGTTATTCTCCATTGTTTACATGAAGGATGAATACAACAATCAAACTGGAATAGATTTGGTTGGTATTGTAAGAGCTACCATTAAAGGTCCTAATGAAGAAGATACTGATACACCACTCTTTACTGGGAAAGTTAGAACACTTGAATTTCCCTTTGTCAAAGGTTCAGCTGAAATCACGGTAATTTTTATGGTTTTTGGTAGATAAGCTTTCTGTATTTAATAGTTTAAAACACAATATTATATAATACATGTTCTTTAGTACATATAGCTATGAAGATGTTCTAATTACATTAAAGTCAACTGAAATATTTTGTGATTTTGCTCTAATCTATTACAGATTGAACCCAGAAACATTATTATTACTAACAAGATCTTTTTCCATATGAATAACTGTTTTCTCTGATTCTAGTGATTTTAGCTTCAGTGATAATATATTCATATTTCTTTGAAAGGCTACCATTCTTTGGATAGAAACAGAATAAAACATAGCCCAGGTAAAATGTACATATTTAGAAAAATTTAATAAAACAGCTTATCTTTTTTACTCTTTTTTCCCCCAAAATGGAAATAGGTTTTTATTTGTATAAAAAAAAATGACACGGTACAAAAACTTCAAAAATAGTGTATTATCACCCTCCAGAGATAGTGATGATAAGTAATTTAGTTTGTACCTTCCAGACTTTTACATATACACACTAAACACTGCACAGATAACCTTGTGTGTATATATATATATATGATTTATACATGGTGGGAGGGGGGGAGGGGGAATAAAATTTCATAAAGAGAACTCTGCTTTTATAAAAAAAATCTTACTTAACACATCTTTGATATATTTCTTTTATCAGTAAATGTAAATCTGCATCATTATATTGATGAACATAATTTTTTAGATCCTGAATTCCTTTTTAGTTTCTTAACAAAGCTTTCTTATTAACAGTGCTTCCGTCTGTTTTCTTCTGTGTATATCCTTTTGCATACATCTGATTACTTCCTTAAAAAATTGCTAGAAGTAGAATTGGAAATAGGATATGTACACTTTAAGCCTTGTGGTAGTTACTGCCAATTGCTCTTCAGTTTATATTCCCACTAGAAATGTGTGTATATCCTCATAATACTACCAACCTTGAATACAGACTTAGAATTCTAACCAAGTTTCCTATATTAAAAAAAATAATGTGTCACTAGTAAGGCTGAACAGTTCTCATGTTTTGGTCTTTGTGGAGAGCCCCTTGGTGCCTTTTCTTTTGAAATGTTCATCATTTTCTTCTTAATTTTATATCTAAGATACTAATTTTTTTCATATATAAGTACTTTTTTGTTTATATGGGGGTGATAAGGAAAATTATAAGCACAGTACCTGCTCTTTTCTTATTCCTTTAAACTTTGGTTTGTCTGGATTTTATTTTTACCTTTTTTCTAATACATTAACTATATTTCTTATATTATTTATTAAATAATTGTTCATGTACCAGATAAATTTGAAATGTCACCTTTTCTTACATTTTTCTGTTGTCAGTCTTCTAACCCATTGCTAATACCACATTGTTTTAATTATGCCAGGCTTACAGTCAAGGCACTGCCAGCTTGCACCTGACCTATAGTAGATGTGTTTCGTGTTCTGGCAGCAATACAGCTTTATGGCGTTGTCATTTTAAGTAGTTTCCAACATTTAAAGTTCTGGAGTTTTTACATAAAGACCTACATTTCTGGTTTAGTTGGAGAATTTTAAAGTCTTGGCAATAGTAGACTAAGATGCTCTTAACAGCAGCAGGATTTTCCAGTCAGTGGTATCCATGCCACTTCTTTCCATCACTTCACATGGAGGACAAGTGTTAGTTGCTACTTAAATTTGCACTTACTCCTTTATTGTAGTAGAGAGTAAAATGAAATTTTCCTGTACCCTAACAAAAATCAGGTAATGAAAGCCACATGTTGAAAAACAAGGGTGTAGACATGTTGAACATGCAAAGTAGGTTTATATTGGAAGAATACACCTACCACATTTTACCTCTTTCATAGGTTCTTTTGTAGGTGTTTGAAATTGCTAACCCCACTGTCTATATTACGTAGGTTAAGACAGTGACTTAAGTAAGCTATTCCCCCACAGCTACATATAGAATCTGAGCTTCATGTCATACATATGAATTTCCACTAGATGTTACTAATACCACACTGAATAAGCAAAAAACTCCCAAGTCCTACTTGACTCCTGACCCAGATACTGATTTAATAGTCTGGTCAGGGCACTCACATCTGATTTGTAACAAGCCAGTGATTCTCATCACTGGGAACATTTAGGAAACACTGGCCCGGAACACAACCAAAAGGTTCCATGTTTGCTTGAAAATAACATGTATTGCTTTTTAAAAAAATTATAGACTAAATTTGTAATTGTTGAAGATTGTTAACTAGGCTATTCAGATTTTCTATTTTTTCCTACGTGATCTAGAAATTTCTGAAAGAGGTGTCTAAGATTCAGTCTGCTACACATTTGTCCATCATATTCCAAATTACCATTTGTAGTTGAATCTAGTTCTGGACTCATCAGTTCTTTTCATTTCTGCTACTCTATGTATCCTTTTCTCTTGATAAGCTATCCATCAGATTACAAACTGAGGAAAGTCCTTAAATACCACATAAAGGAAAAGATTATATATTTAACTATATAAAAAGTTAAAACTCAAATACCATAAGCATATCTTAAACAGAATTAAAAGAATAGTGGCCATGTGTTGATAATTATGGGTATGTAGAGAATCATTATATGATTGTATAATAAAAAATTTTATGACATTGGGTAGAAATATTACTATATTGAGTAGCAATGTTTCTATATGTCTAATAGAATATATATATCTATAATAGAGCATTAATATAGTAAACATATTTTTAAATCTCCTAAAGAACTCCCTGCAGATCACTAAAAAGAAAATCTAGTAAAAGAAAAAAATGGCCAAAGAATATAAGCCAGCAGTTAATGGAAGGGAAAGTATAAATGACCAATAAACAAGCATGACCTTAATACTGCAGAGAAATGCTAGTTATTAAAACAATAAAAAACTGCTGTTTTTAATCTTCCTATTAGGAAAAAACAACTTGATTATTAATAGATTTTTGCCAGCATCAGGAAAACTAGATGTTCTTACACTAATGGTGAGAGAATGAATTGATACAGCCTTTTTAAAGGGAAATTTGATACTGCCTACTAAAACTGTTTTACTGAGTCTTATTTCTCACCTATTCTAGAGAACACACAATGAAGTATTGAAAGATATTTTCTTTGCTCTCTTATAAATAATAGCTAAAAAGTTCTAAGCAAACTAAGTGTTCATCACCCTGTGAAATCAAAGTGCATGCTGAAAGCCACTTGCTGAATTATAAAGTGTGTTATTTTTTAAAAGTGGACAGTATTTTATTTTAATGTGTTTCTGTTTGTGTAAATACATTGAAAATAGCTTTTAGAAACTAAGTGGGGTTGCAGATCCATTTAATTGTGGGCTTGTATTCTATATTCTTCAGAAAAAAAGAAATGTTAGCTACAATTTATAATTTTACTCTTTCATGGATTGTTATACAGTGTTCTATCAATTTAGATTTTTTAAAATTATAATTCTCTGTCTTTGAATTGTATTACTGTAGTATGAAAAAACAAAATAGTGTCTTGTTTCCTTTAAAAAATAATTAGACTAAAACAAAACACTTAAGATACACATATTTATATTTGCATTTTTTACTAGTCATATTGCTGTGGTCTTAAAGCATCTGAAGTTTTTGTGTGTGTGTATTAATGAAGGAAATGCAATTTTAAAAATCATTAGAGCTTTTCAGGACCTCCTTTCTGGTCACCTGGGACTAGTGGGTCTACTTCCATAGTAACAGCTGTAACTTAAACTCAGCATTGGGCTTTGGGTATTTCTTTGTGATTGTTTTTGTAACTTTCATGCCATCAGCTCTTTTCCACTGCTTCATCTTAAAGGTTGGAATCAAGATTTTGTATTTGTAGGTCAAGGTATATATAAGTGGCTATGATATGTCTGGTACGAAAGTAAAAATACTTTTTGTAATTTTGCATTTTATATAATTTTTGCATAATCTTTTTGTCGATAAGATCATTTGGCTTTCAAACCATTACCACAGGGTAAGAAGTATTATGTCTCAGGTGTTGCTGATGATGTTATAATGAATGTTTAATCTTAAGGGTTAGTCATGCCTTTAAAAATAACTTTCTGGGAAACAGAGTACATGAGATAGATAATATTTTACAGTGAAAAATACCTTTTTAAATCTTGTTTTTCCTTACTGCTTTTTTCTTTATACAGAGTCTGGTGCTGGCAGAAAATAGTCCTGGAAGAGATAGCACTGAATATGTTATTGTATTTGAGCCTCAGCTGCCAACGTTATCAAGGACACTAAAATCATATGAACTACCATTTATGTTTTATGATGGTAAGTTTCTAGGAAAATAGATGATTGAACTCAAATGTTTGTGTACTTTAGAAACTCTTGTTTTGCTTTCCATTAACATGATGCTTATTAGTTACCTAGTCATGTTATGACATTATTTTGGAAGTCACAATTAAATAAAATTGAAGTAAATTATCTGAAATGTTTGTTCCCTAGATGTTAAGAAGCAGCAACAAATGGCAGCACTTACAAGAGAGAAAGACCAATTATCTAAGAATATTGTAATGTACAAAAGTTTATTTGAAGCCGGCAAACAGCTTCTTAATGAAATGAAGTGTAAGTCATTTTGTATTCAAAGGTAATAAAAAATTATGCTTTGGGGGAATGTAAGGCAGAAAGTTGAGTACAAACACTACCTCCTTTCCTGCAAGTAAACTGCAAGTAAACTGCAAGTAAACTGCAGAACACTGCAGAAAGGTAGTAATGATGGCTTATATTATTTGTCATTTAATCTTAAGATGAAGGATTCCTTTATTGTAAATAAATTTATATCCTGCTTACCTATAATACTTTTAGATTTTTTTATTAGGAATCTAAATCTGTGGAAATTGAAGCATTTTGACATAACAGTAATAATATTTATATCCAACTCCAACTTCTAGCAAAAGATTCTAGATGACAGTATCACTAGGGGGAGTGATACTGTGTACTTTATGTTTGATTCATGGGACTTTATGTATTTTACATAAAATAACTGCATAATGTCACTTTGGTGGTATACAGCCTGTATAGCACACACTGATACAGAAACATGTAACTTACTTTGAATCAATACACAGAATGTTTGCTGTGATTTTAAATAATGTTTATATATTTAAGGCATTTCCTGAGTTGTGATCCATCATCTTTCATTCATCAGATTTTTTTTGCTGTGGTTTTGGCTTTGTGTTAAATAAATAGTTAAAACTTTGATTCCGTTAGCCAACAAGTATGTTTTGCCTACATTACCCACTTTCCTATATTTCTCCAAGGTCAATGATCTTTAGAAGATAACAGGAGTTAAGTAGAGTAATGACATAGCACATAAGTTATAACACTAAGAATTGTTTTTTTTTTTAAGTCTTATTTGGTTCTTAGAACAACCTGTATAAATTACGTATAGTCATGTATGTTAGGAATAAGTAATTTATCTAGTCATAATATCTCTCTTAAACTCATTGATTCTCTTTCCCGTTTTTGTGTATTAGATCTGAAACTTAATTTTAGAGTTTTAGTTTCTAAAAGTTACTTATTTTTCATTTTTAGCAACAATCATTAGAAAGAAAAAAGTGAAAATATTTTTCAAAAACTGTATTTTGGGCATTATTAGAAATCAATGCAGGCTTTTTTGTTTTTATTTTTAGGCCAAGTGGAAGAAGCAAAATTAAAAGAGGCCCAGTTGCGAAATGAACTAAAAACACATAATATTGACATTCCTACCACACAGCAGGTAACAGTTTTCAAGAATATATAAAGGATTTCTTTTTTCATTGAATTCTATATTTTTTTATGATTCATATTTTATGATTATGGCACTATTGTTTTTGGATACCAAGATATATGTTCATTATATGCCCGGCACTTACTAGACATTAAAAGGGGCTAACAAAATGAGAGTGCTCTTTTCAAAGAAATTGCAGTTTGTATTTCTAATGTAATGACACCAATAAGTGAAATAAATAATACACCAACTTGAGAACTGCTTTGAAGAGGCTGTATAAGTTATAACAAGTATATATGGTGGTAAAGAAAATGAAAGATAACAAAAGACAATGGATTTTTCTAAATTTATGTTCTTAGTTTCAAAGAGGAGTCCTATTATAGATTGTGTATTTCTTAACTAAGATCAAAAATATTAATGAGGTGGAAGCTTTATGTACTATAACTGTATTATTTTAAAGTAATGCCAGTTTAGTAACTTTAAGTTCTTAAATTGTCCAAAGTGTTGATATTTCTCTGCTGTCGTTATGGGCTATCTGATACAAGAGTAATTGGCCTTGTAGTTAATTTTTCTTTATAAATTACAGATGCCACACATTGAAGCACTTTTGAAAAGAAAGCTATCAGAACAGGAAGAACTTAGGAAGAAACCGAGAAGATCATGTACTCTTCCAAACTATACTAAAGGTGGTGGAGATGTTTTGGGAAAGGTTTGTGTTTCAACCTTTAAGAGGCAGTACATTTTATATCTTGTTTAAAGGTGTTTTAAAATAACATTATAATAAAAGAGTGTCAGTTTCTTTATACTTCTTAATTTTTCCAATAAATTACTTGCACTCATTACCATGGTAGAGATACGGCAGAATTTAAAACTGAAATGCATAATTAATCCCATATTCTTATTACTATTGAGGTCTGCAGCAGAAATTGTTAACATGTCTTAGTTCAAGCTTTATTGTCTGCTTAGAGATGCTTTCATGTCATATGGCTTTATAGGTAGCCAAGACTTTTGCATGTGACTCAAACTCGGACAACAGAAGAGAAAGAAAGATCAGAATTTTCCTTGTGTCTGAATTAAATATTGCTAGAAAGTGAACTTAGAATAAACAACACAAAAAACTTTATACATAAAACTTTATACATATCTGCTGCCCAGAATAGTGCCATTCTTCTTTTATTCTTTCCCTCTTTGGTTTTACCTTTTGTCATATGAGCTATATTTTCATTTTTAGCCTACCATTATTCAATCCTGATCATTATCTTTTATAAAAAGTGCTTCTTATAGGAGGTGTCCCTAGCACCTTCTGTGTTTAATGGTGTTAAGGTTGTGGTGTATGTGCATGTGTTTTACTTGTTTAACTTTTCCATTTGATACGCATCTCAGCTTTCTGCTGTTACCTGTTTTTAAATTAAGGAAGTAAAACAGATTCGAAAAAATTAAGAAACATGCTCAAGGTTACACAGCAAAGCAAGCAAGTGGCAGAGTCAGGACTCAACCCCAGGCAGTCTGACTCCAAAGTGTGTACTGTTAATCACTGTTCTTTATGCCTGTGTACATTGTGCTACTTCCACAGCCAGCCTATGAACTTTTTATAGTGCTTCTCTCTTTTTTTTTACATTTATAAGGTATTATTGATATACACTCTAATGAAGGTTTCACATGAAAAACAATGTGGTCACTACATTAACCCTTATTATTGAGTTCCCCCCTATCCCATTGCAGTCACTGTCCATCAGTGTAGTAAGATGCCACAGATTCACTATTTGCCTTCTCTGTGCTACACTGTCTTTCCCATGACCCTGCACACACCATGTGTACTAATCATAATACCCCTCAATCCCCTTCTCCCTCCCTCCCCACCTGTCCTCCCAAACCCCTCCCCTTCGGTAACCACTAGTCCCTTCTTGGACTCTGTGAGTCTGCTGCTGTTTTGTTCCTTTCGTTTTGCTTCATTGTTATACTCCACAAATGTACCTCTCATTTTTGCATGAGGAAACTGAGGTTCACAGAATGTAAATAGCTTGCCAGTGAATAGTAAGGCAGAACTAAGACATAAACCAAGGTCTCTCTGACTTTAAAGTCCATGGTAGTTTCCTTATAAACAGTTTCCAAACATCACAAGCAAATGATACACTGAAAATAGGGGGTAATGGTTATTCTAAAAGTATGAAGCAGTGATTACTACCAAACCATGTTATATTACTATCCAAACCCCAAATATGAAAATTGAGAAAATTAAGCATGTAAATAGGAAAACAAGATGCTGATTTATAGTTTTTTAAATTGTCGCTTCTCAGAACTAATGTATAGAAAGAAGTAGTCTTTATAGAACAAGAAGTCCTAGTATTCTATGCATATAAATATTGATAGCCTGGTTTCAGATATTAATATTCCACATTCAGTGGTTCATTTGACAGAAAGAAATTTTTGCTCAATATGTAAGATTTTAGCCTACAAGTATAAATTTTAGCTGAACAGCTGTATTTTAAAGTCTTCCATCCAAATATTTCTCGTCACATATTTTGAAAATATGGGGGAAAGCTTTGAAATCTCATTTTATATAGTTTCTCCTTTGTCCTCAGAAGTACAGGCCCTCTACTAGCCAGTAAGAGAATATTTCCCACTCCCTGATTAAACTTGTTTCAAATAACTCAGTTAACTTGGATATTGACCTCTCATTACCATAAAAGGGATATGGCAGAATTTAATTGCCTTCCTTAATTCCAAATACCTTGAAATCCCATATATATTCCTTTTTTTAAAGTGGCATTCATCTCCCATCCCTAACTGAGGAAGAATTATAACATTGATGATGGAATTTTCAGGGATTCTGGTTGAAATGAATCCCTCATTTGTGGACTCAAAAAAGCTGAAAAAACCATTTAAAAGCTTGAATGAGCCGAACATTGTATGTGATACACAAGTTAAAAATAGTGAGTTCATGTCTTAGAAGAAATTAGGCTTTTTGGAAAAAACTATGCAGTATATACTTTATAGCACCTGGAAGTTTAAGGAGAAAGTATAATGTTAAGGAGTCTAGTGAGAACTTCAGTCATATCTTCACTTGGAAATAAACACCCCAGTTATGAGATTAGGGTACTTAACAAACAACCACAAAATAGACACTTAACTCTAGCAATTGTGGTCACTAGTAGAATAGGTCGCATAATTTGATCTGCCTCTATTAATCCTTCCTTTGCTAAAAACATTTTTTTCATCTTTTACATATATTAGTTTCTTTACATGTCTGTTTTCTTACCTTTCTTCCACTCCCAGAGAACTGGAATACAGGGGTAGATATTATGATGTTTCTAACAGTGACATACAACAATCTCATTGCTAGGGAATGTTTTTGCTACCAGATCAGGTAAGAATAACAAGCAGATGTGACCAACACAGTGCACTGAATAAGGTTTTGAAATTGACCACAAAGTTTCAACCTTGTTGGACTTGAGCAAGAATGCTGTGACTAAAAATATTTATAAATAGGAGAGTGGTTCCTTATCCTAAGCTCCATAGTGTTCTTATAAGCAGAAGAAATGATTGTTATTTGTGACATTCAGATTCGTTTTCTGAAAGACATACTATAGTATTACAGTACATGCTTTAAAGGTTATGCTATATAACTATTCTATGTTTAATTGTATCTTAAAAAACTCCATTTATGTGTATATTATTTGAATATATCTTATGATTACTTTATCAATGAACACACATCCAGTAGGAGAATATTAAATGCAAAAAATGCATCATTAATTAGGTAATAATATTCTAAATATTTTTTTTGCTCATTTGTAAAATTTACTGGACCTTAATTGGTGAAACAGTTTTTCCAAAATTTAACAGCAGGATAGACAGTTTAATATTCAAGCCACTAATACAGCTTGAGAATTTTCTCCTAATTCATGAGTGTTTCAGAAAAGTGTTTTTGCTCTTTGGCCTTTTAAAATATTTAATACCAAATTTTTATTTAAAAGTTTTTACTTGAGTTTTAAAAATGGGTTATAGATTGCACACCTGGCACAAATTGAAGATGATAGAGCTGCTGTGGTTATTTCTTGGCATCTGGCAAGTGACATGGACTGTGTAGTCACCCTGACCACTGACGCTGCACGTCGCATCTATGATGAAACCCAGGGTCGCCAGCAGGTGTTGCCCCTTGATTCTATTTATAAGAAGACTCTTCCAGATTGGAAAAGGTTAGAAAAAAATGGAACTTGTGATTTTTTTCTGAAATAACTGTCCTGTTTTTTATCAACATGCTGAATTTAAAAATGATTTCTCTAAAGGATGCCTAAAACAAACTGAGAAGTGACTCAAATCAGATACATTATTTTTATCTTCATCACAGATGTGCACATTACATTAAGACTGATATTTCAGTGTATTCAATCATATATGCTTGCCACGTTTAATTTGCCAGTTAACTGTAATTTGTATATATGACAGATACACGAACACATGCACAGATATACCAAAAGCAAATTTTTGGCCTTTGGAACATGAACACTGGAAAACTGTCATTGTTATTAACAAAATATGTAACTCCTTTATTTAGAGTAAGGGTATAGTTATGTGTCTTTTATCCTCTTTGTCCTGTGAAAATAAGCTACCATCATTTGGGTGGAGAAGGTCTCTATTGGAACTGCCAATAGCAAAGTTAAAATGTTAAGAGACCATCTAGTTAGGATGTTTCATCTTTATTTTAATATGAATCTGGATTTTTAAATTATTTCCTCATTTGCTTTTCAAGATATATTTTTAGGGAAACCTATCAGGCATTTTTTTCTGAATTTTAAAATACTTTCTGTGTACTATGATTTTGACTCTTTTTTAAAATCTTTAAAAGACTAGAAGGAAATGGAAACAACAAAAAATAAAAAGTAAAATATGTGGCAGGGTATTGACTGATAATTTTCTGATTCCTAAACAAAGTTTTGCAAGTCCTACAACTGGGTAGGAATAGTGACTATAAGAAGAACACAAGCTTAGATTAGGAATCTATTGTGTTACTAAAATAACATTTCATTTCATTTTATAATCTGAAAGCAGATTGAGGAAATAAGTGGAATTTGAATGGAATTGAAGTCACATTTGTCTGCTTCTCGAATCTCCCACTCTGCTACTAGTCACTGCTCCATTTAAATATGGGAAATCCTGTCAGATATAATTACTGTATTGATAAGGGTAATAATTTTTGCTAGAATAACTTCTTTTCAGGAGGGCCTTCTCTTATGTCCAGAATCCCTGAAAACCAAGTTTAAGGATTTTTGATTTAGAGAAAGTATGAATTTGGTATTTAGGGATAACGTTTGCTCTAGAATCTAGCTATCCTCTTTGTTCCTGATATAGTGCCTCTTACTGGAATTGAGTTAACTGGTGCCTAGAGCCACCTCACACCCCAGCACTCCTACTGTCAAGATATGGGGAAAGCTACACTATGTGCACTGGAAAGGCCCTGACACCCCAGTTAACCTCCATCTCTTGAATCCCATTGTTAACCTCTGGGCTTCAGTTGCTCATTCTATGAGGGAAAGATGTCAGGGTAGGTTCCTGAGTTCCCTCCCTCACATGTGTTTTAGCCTTGCACATTGCCCCTTTCCTCACCCATTCTAGGGCCACCCTCCACATGAGGCAGTAGTATCATTGGCATCCTCACTAGGGCCAGCTTTAGAGGCTGCTTTTCTCCTATCGCTATCAAACTAAACAATAGTTTGAGTGGATTTTTCAAACTAATTGAAGGTGGTAATACAGATAAAGCTAAGTAGATATTTTTATATGGTAAATGCTGTTATCATTTTTGAGGGCATACATAGTCATTTAGGAGTATCATTTATGGATGAGGATTTGATTATATCACAGTGATATGCAATCTATTAATATGTGTTTCACAATATATATATTTTCAAATTAAAAAGTTGTATGTGTTTTTATACTTTTTAAAAATTTATTTTCATTCAGACCTCTACCTCATTACCGAAATGGAAAATTGTATTTTAAACCCATTGGAGATCCAATCTTTGCCCGAGATTTGTTAACATTTCCAGATAACATAGAACATTGTGAAACAGGTAAAGGAAATTATGGTGACTTTATTTTCTACAGATGTTACATTTGTGATTCAAATATGTAAATTACTAATTATGGAAATTTATGTTACTTAGTTTGTAACCAATAGTTTTATTAATATTTAATTTTTTTCATGTTGAACAGAAGTGTTGAATAGAATTCTAGTGTTAGAGTTCCTTCTAAGAAAAATTTGCAGTGTGTGTTAGTATTTTAATATGACCGAAGAAGACGTCATCATTTTAAAAATTCATGTATTGAATTTTTTTAGTATTTGGTATGCTGTTAGGAGACACCATTATTTTGGATAATTTGGATGCTGCCAATCATTATAGGAAAGAGGTATGTATTTGAATTCTTTACAGATTTTTTAATTTGTAGCTCTCACTTTAATGTGTATTTTTGAAATATATCATTGTCTGATATATCTGCAATAATTTTATTGTCTGATACATCTGCAAATGACTAAGTAACCTTGTCAGAACCAATTTAAATCCTATAAATTGACAAGCAACATAAAATCAGGTACAATAAATGAATGAATGGGTAAGATGCAAATAAAAATGAGACATATTTTTGGGCTATGCAGTTATCTAAGAATCAAAACCAGTATCTGTTATGATAATAATACTGAAAAAGAGTACTCTCAGGTAATATTGGTGGAAATGTAATTTGAGGTAGCCCTTGTTTATTAGTTGGTAGGGCTGCTGTAACAAAGGCCCACAGACTGGGTAGCTAACAGTAGAAATTTGTCTCATAGTTCTGGAAGCTAAAAATTCTAATTGAATGTGTGGTCAGGGTTGATTCTTTCTGAGTGCTATGAAGGAAGGACTTGTTCCAGGTCTCTCTCCTTAGTTTATAGGTAGGTGGTCATCTTCATGTCTGTTCACATCTTCACAAATTTATGTCCTTTTCTGATAAAGACACCACTCATTGAATGTGGCCTCATTTTAAGTTGATTGTTTCTATAAAGACCCTATCTTAAGTTAAGGTCACATTCCGAGGAACTGGCAGTTAGGACTTCAGCATAAGAATTTTGAGGAACACAGTTCAAGCCATAACACCTTTGGATGATCAGTTTGTCAATATATGTATGTTTTAGTTATCTGTTGCTACATAACAAACAATACAAAGTAGTGCTTTAAACAGTAACAAAACAAGTTTTTTTACCTGTGGGGAACCTCCAAGCAGTGTTAGCTAGTTGCACTTGGTATTGTGGAAGCTCCAAAATGCCGCATTCACATAGCTGGATTTGTCTCACAGACCCCTACCCCAGCATGCTGTGAGAAAGTGCCATTAAGATTTTTAGAAATCTTTGCCTACCTAAGAGGAGCTAGGAAGCAGTGCCTTAAATTTGAGGTCTTAACAAAGGGACGTCCTTAACTTGATTTCAACTCTGAGGCCACATTTTACTGACTGTGCACTGAATTTGACCTTAGTCCTGAGGCTTTCCATTTCTTTTTTAAGAATATTTTGTTAACTGAACAGACTGGGGTTGAAAAACAGTTTTTCCTACACAATGTATCCTGGGTTAGAAATACTTTCTTGAAATTACTTTTATTGCCTTTATTTTTACTGATTTTCTTGAAATTAATTCCTACTTTAGCTTATCTCCCACTCATGTTGGCTAGTTGATGCTGGCTGCTGGCTAGACACTGTGCTGGGGTTATAGGCTGGCAGACTTGGGTCTCTCCATGTGAGTCTGTCCTTTTGACTGCTTGAGCTTCAAATGATGTCTGGGTTCCAGGAAGGTGTTTTCCAAGCAGTAAAAGCAGAAGCTGCAGGTCTCTCAAGTCCTAGCCTTGGAAAGTACATTTGGTATGTCAAAATCTGGCTAGCCCAGATCTAAGGAGGGTGGGGAAGTGGGAATAGGTTCTCCCTTCTCCATTGAGAAGGAGCAAAGAATTTGCAGCCATCTTTATACCATCACAAGGTATTAGAATAATTTATCTTAGAGACACACACTTCCACAAGTATACAAAGATGTGTATAGGAATATTCATTAGAATATTAAAGAATTTGTAATGGGAAACTTTAGAAACATTCTAAATGTCTGTCCATTTAGGATTGGACATAACTCCATTACAGTAATTTATATAGTAGAACAGTATGTAACAATTAAAAAGAATGTAAAGGATTCCTGTGTCCTAAAGGAAGATGGACAAAATATATTTTGTTGAAAAGTACAAACTTATAATGTATAAAATGATGCCCTTTGAAAAATTAGCTTATGTACTTTAATTTTTAATTATAGTTGATATACAATATTTAATTACAGTTGATATACAATAAGTATAGTTGATATACAATATTACATTGATTTCAGATGTATAATATAGTGATATAATAATTACATACATTGTTGAATGCTCTCCATAATACGTGTGGTTACCATCTGTCATCATACAAAGATACTATAATATTAATGGCTACATTCCTTATGCTGTACTTTTATCCCCATGATTAACTTATTTTATAATTGGAAGTTTTACCTTTTCATCTCCTTAACCTATATGTCCCACCTTTTACCCCCTCCTCTATGACAATCACCAGTCTTTTCTCTGTGTTTATATGTCTCTTTCTATTTTGTTCATTTGTTTCTTAGTTTTTTAGAGTCCCCATATAAGTGAAATCAATAAAGAGAAATTATCTTTCTCTGCTTGTTTTATTTCACTTAGCATAATACCCTCTAAGTCCATCCATGTTGTCACAAATGGCAAGATTTCATTGTTTTTAATGGCTGAGTAATATTCTGTTGTATATATGTACCATATCTTCATCCATTCATCTATCATTGGACACTTGGGTTGCTTCCATAACTTGATTATTATAAATAATGCTGCAGTAAACATAGGAGTGCATATATCTTTTTGAATTGGTGATTTTGGTTTCTTCAGATAAATTCCCACAAGTGGAATTGCTGGGACATAATGATATTTCTACCTCTAGTTTTTTGAGAAGCCTCCATACTGTTTTCCGTAGTGGCTGCACCAGTTTACATTCCCACCAACAGTATATGAGGATTCCCTTTTTTCCAACCTCATCAACACTTGTTGTCTTTTGGATAATAGCCATTCTGACAGGTGTGAGGTGATATATCATTGTGGTTTTGATTTGCATTTCCCTGATGATTAGTGATGTTGAGCATCTTTTTCATGTGTCTGTTAGTCATGTGTATGTCTTTGGAAAAATATCTATTCAGATCCTCTGCCCATTTTTTAATCAGACAATTTGTCTTTTTGGTGTTAACTTGTATGAGTTCTCTGTGTATTTTGGATCTTAACACCTTGTCAGATACATCACTAGCAAATATATTCTCCTATTCAGTAGATTGCCTTTTCTCTTTGTTGATGGTTTCCTTTGCTTGTGCAGAAACTTTTTAGTTTGATGTAGTCCCTTCTTATGTTTCCCTTGTTTGTGTTTCCCTTGTTTGGGGAGACATATCCAGAAAAAAATAGCTAATGCTAAGGTTCAAAAGTTTACTGCCTGTAATTCCTTCTAGGAGTTTTATGGTTTCAGGTCTTACACAGTTTTCAAAATTATTTTTATGTATGGTGTAAGACAGTGATCCAATTTCATGTTTTTGCATGTACCTTTCCAGTTTTCCCAGCACTGTTTATTGAAGAGACTATCTTTCCCCCATTGTATATTTTTGCCTCCTTTATCATATATTAATTGACCATATGAGCTTGGCTTTATTTCTGGGCTGTCTGTTCTGTTCCATTGGTCTGTGTGTCTATTTTTGTGCCAGTACCATACTGTTTTGATTACTATAATTTTATAGTATAGCTTGAGATCAGAGATAGTGATACCTCCAGCTTCATTTTTTTTTTTTAAGATTACTTTGGCTTTTGGGGCTTTTTGTGGTTCCATGAAAATTTTAGGATTATTATGTGAAAATGCCACTGGTATTTTGATAAGCATTATATTGAATCCGTAAGACTGTTTTGGGGATAGTATGGAAATTTTAACAATACTAATTCTTCCTATCCATGAGCATGGAATATCTTACCATTTATTTGTGTCTTCTTCAATTTCTTTCATCAGTGACTTACAGTTTTCAGAGTTCACCCCTTCGGTTAGATTTTTTCCTAGATGTTTTATTCTTTTTGATCCGATTTTAAGTGGTTTAAGTGGGGTGATTTAATTTCTTTCTGTTCATTATTTGTATATAGAAATGCAACCGATTTCTATATATTGATTTTTATCCTGCAACTTTACTGAATTCATGTATTGATTCAAATAGTTTTTTGGTGGAGTCTTTAGGGTCGTCTGTATATGGTATCATGTCATCTGCAAATAGTGACAATTTTACATCTTCTTACTAGTTTGTATTTGGATGCCTTTTCTTTTTCTTTTCTGATTGCTGGGGCTATAGGACTTCCAGTTCTATGTTGAATGAAAGTGGTGAGATTGAGCACCCTTGTCTTCTTCCTGATCTTGAAGGAAAGGCTTTCAGCTTTTCACAATTGAGTATGAAGTTAGCTGTGAGTTTGTCATATATGACCTTTATTATGTTGAGATATGTTTCCTTTATACCCACTTTGTTGAGATGTTTCTATTATGAATGGATGTTGAATTTTGTGAAATGCTTTTTCAGCATACATTGAGGTGATCATGTGGTTTTTAGTCCTTTCTTGTTAATGTGGCCACATCACATGATTGGCTTGTGAATATTCCATCCTTGCTTCCCTGGAATAAATCCCACTTGGTTGTGGTGAATGATGTATTTTTGGATTTGGTCTGCTAATATTTTGTTGAGTATTTTTATATCTATGTGCATCAGGGATATTGGTCTGTAATTTCCTTTTTTTGTAGTGTCTTCATCTGGCTTTGGTGTCAAGGTAATGCTGATCTCATAAATGACTTTGGAGGCATACTTTCCTCTTTTATTTTTTTGAATAGTTTAGGAAGGATAAGTACTAGTTCTTTAAATGTTTGGTAGAATTCACCTGTGAAGCCATCTGGTCCTAGCCTGGTTTATTGGGAGTCTTTTGATTATTGCTTCAATTTCATTACTAATTGGTGTGTTCAGATTTTCTCTTTCTTCCTGATTCAGTCTTGGAAGATTGTATGTTTCTAGAAATTTGTTCATTTCTTGTAAGACTTTCAGTTTTTTGACATGTAATTTTTCATAGAATTCTCTAATAGTCCTTTGAATTTCTGTGGTGACAGTTGTAACTTCTCTTTCATTTCTGATTTTGTTTGCATCCTCTCTCTTTTTCTTGATGAGTCCACTAAGGTTTGTCAATTTTGTTTATCTTTTAAAAGAAACAACTTTTAGTTACCTTCATTTTTTTCCCTACTGTTTTCTTAGTCTCTATTTCATATATTTCTGCTCT